CTGACACACGTGCTCGGAGCCAGGTCTGTGACTCCTTCTCATCCATCCTCCTACTCCCCCTAGTCTCTCTCTTTGGCATGAATGTCTCCTGAGCTCCTGACCTGTATCTACTGACTGTTGTACATTTCCATCTGCACGTTCCATGGACTCCTCACTTAACAAATCACAAATTGTACCCCACCTTCCCTTCCCCTCAACTGTGACCTTTCACCTGAAGACATTCTCTTGGCTAATGGCACCTGGTTACTCACATCACCATCCTGGGAGTCAGCTCTCTCCTTTGTCAACAACATCCAACTGGTCACAAGTCCTGTCAAGTTTACCTCCTAAATCCACCACTCCCTCTCCATCCCTGTTGTCACGATCGTCTGGACTTCTGCAGTTTCCTTTTCTCATCACAAACAGTGAGGCCTCCCTCTGGGCCATCTCCCTCAAGCCGCACCCTTTCTACAGAGCACCCTTTCTAAAATATACCTCTGGACCCAGCACTCTCCTGCTCTGAACATCCCCAGGGTCTCCTCATCACCTGCAATTAAGTTTGACTGTTGGCATGGGCCATCATCTGGCTCTTTTCATTCACTGGAAACCGGTACCCCATCCTTTGGTCATCAAGGACACAATAACCAGACCTCTGCACATGGGCATACCCCCGCCCCTTTTGGTCTGGAAATCACCTCTTCTTGCAAGATGCAATTCAAACGTATCTTCCCATGTGAAGTCTTCTCTTATTCCCTTCCCAATAGAAAAAAAATCAGTGCTTTCTCCCTGACATTCGGACCTCTTATAAGACCATGTTTATCTTCCCTGTTAGATACAAGGTCTGCCTCTTTAAGTCTCCCAAACATCGTCCTGGCTCTTGGCATGGATGTTTGCAAGACATCCTGGCACTTACAACTGGGTACTTATGGTCACTGTCTGCCTTATACTCTTCCCCAGAACCCTGTGAAGGACTGTCCCCTCCATCTAACAGGCTGGGGAACTGAGGTCAAGAAAGACTAAAGAACTTCAGATTAAGATTCAGTTACAAAGGAGAGAAGCCAAGATTTGGACGGAGGCCTGCCCAACTCAAATTCTGCTCTATCCAAGAGACCAGTAGCTCTCAAACCTGACTGGTCATTAGCACCCACCCACACCCACCACCACCAATGAGGAATTTTTTAAAAGATTATTCCTAGGTCATGTCCCAGAGCTACTAAATTTGAATCAGAGCTACCAAAGCATAGGAGTCCATATGGTTCAAGCTCTCCAGGTGGTTATAATAACCAAGCTGGTTTTAGGCATCAGTGTACTGATCTTCAGGCCTCTCTGCTCTAGAAAATACTGGTCTAGGCCTTTGGGAAGAGCTTGGAGTTGGAGACATAAGTCCAGGAACAACTTACCTAGAAAGGGAATATAAAATTGTGGAAGCAGCTGGGCTCACTAAGGGCAGAGTATAGAAAGAGAAAATAATGGGCCCAGAGAGAACCCTTGTAGAAGTTCCTATAGAACAGGAGAGAAACTAGGAGAAACAGAAAAAAACAGTGGTAAGAGAGACAGGAGGAGATTTAATATTAACTATGTACCGAAGCAGAGGGATCAAAGAATTTTGCAAAGAAACTTTTGATAACGTAAGATGCTGTGGAGAGAAAGAGGGATTGGAAGGCCCAGACCAAAACACTGGTGTTGATTATGTCCGTGGAGCAGAATAATACCCCAATCTATAAGCTGATGTGAATATTGCTTGGTTGTTTCAGGGGTTTCTAATACTCCTTGACCCCATGGCCCCCCATCTAGTCAGTGGCCTTCACTGCCACAGGGAAGGTATGACACAGTGGAAGAGCAGAGAACAGGAGCCAGAATGTGACTTTGAAGTTCGAGTGTAGGTCAGGGCATTGATGACAGTCTGGAATAGACCACACGAGGAGTCTATTGGGTGACTCTCCCAAACAAAGGTCCCGAGATGGCAAACAGGGAAGCATCAGCAAGGAAACAAAAATGAGTGAGACCCTGAGTATGTCCTTGCAAAAGGGCACTTGAAATCTCCCATATTCCCCGTTCCCACAGTCCCAGAAGCAACAGAGAGATCGAGAACTGGAGAGGCACTGTGCTGGGGAACAAGAGACCACACTGCCTGCACGGATCAAAGACCATGAAGGGACAAGGCCATTCTAATAGTGTGGATTGACTGTGCCAAGAGCCCTGCTGCAGGGCCCTAGAGCTGTCCTTGGGACTAAGCTACGACTCCAGAGAAGGGACCTCGAGCCCTGCATTACAGAGATGAGGTTGATGCCACCAGGCCAAATGAAGTCCCAAATCAGACATTATGTTCAGTTATAGGAAAGTAACAAAAAAGTTACATTTCTTTCCCTGCTGAGTTTGCCAACTGAGATCCATCTCTATTACATTCCAGAGATGGGATGGAAGACAGTGAGCAAGGAGCTGAGGAGTGAGCAAAATTGAACTGGCAGGGATAGCAAATGCAGCCTCTTCCTTAAAAAATAATGTTTTTAATTTGTATACATTCCCATCAAAGGAAGTTCAAGGATAGAGTTAGCAGAATTAGGACAGTGTGTGTGTGTGTGTGTGTGTTTCAGATGGAGGAGACCTGAGCACACTTCCTTAATTTAGTAAATCACTGCTTAACCCATGGTTTGAAAGAGGTAGGAACTGCCTTAGCAACTAGAAGTCCCTTTTCAACCCTCCTGCACTGTCTTCTGTCTTCTGTACCCCCAATTCCTAAAGCAACGTCACTGACAAAGTTCACTGGCTACCTCCACCACCTCTCTCCCTCCACCTACCTAACCCTTCATTTGGAAGGAATGGAGGAATAGAGAAGCCTGCCGCTGGGAGGCCTTGAGAAGCTTGGGCTTGCATGCTGGTGTTATTCTTTTTTTAAAAAAAACAAACAGCTTTATTGAGGTGTAATTTATATATCATAAAATTCACCCTTTGTAAGTACACAACACAATGATTTTTAATTACGTTTCTTTCCCTGCTTTAGTTACATGTTACACAGTTGTGCAACCATCTAGTTTTAGAGCACTTCCATCTCCGGGATGTGATTTTAAAAACTGCGGTCCCTCAGCATTCTCTGTACCTGGCAACCTCATTCTAGCTCGAGTAATCCATCACGACCTTTGCTCTCCAGCTGGCCCCTCTGTTTCCGGAGGCAGGGGGTTCATGGATCTGCCAGCCCTGGTTCCCAGCTGGTGCAGCTCCCCAGGTGGCCCTGCTGATCCTCCTGTGAATTCTGTGGTGCAGGCTGTTATGGGGCCATCTCTGGAACCTGAGACAAAAACCAAACTCCTCTACCTACTTTCAGCACTGCTTTGGCCTAGAGTAGACTCAAAGCTTCACTGGCTTCAGAACAGCACATGGATTCTTTTTTTTTTTTTTAAGTTGCAGGTTAACACTCCGGTGTGGGGTGAATTTCCCGCCAAAATATAAGATGGCTCTGTCTTTTGGTTTTGTTCCATCCACCAAAAGGGTGGATTACAAACAAATATTTGGTAATACGCAGTTACAATCGGCCCGAGTTTACACGTTTCCCGCACTCCACCGCAAATCTATATGAACCGAGTTAAAGACGGCTCCCGCGGAGTACGCGCAATTCACGCGAGCCGACTTAACTCGTTTCCCCCACTCCAAGTGTTAAGTGCTCAGCTACAGGGTTTTTGGAGGACCATGGTGGGGGAGGGGGACAGGGGTCGCGGGGGAGGGCATGCGCACACGGAAAAGAAGTTGTACCGTGGATGGAAGGAGTGCCTGCCTTTCCAAGGGCCATTTGGGAGATGCTTTGCTTATATTTATTTTGACACAGTAATGATTTCTCGACTGTTAAGAGAAAGGTCACACCTCAGAAGGCTGCGTGGATTGCAGCTAATGCTCTGCCTGCTGACTCCGGCCGTGTCATCGCTCAGTGCTCGCTGGCCCGCTGTGCAACCTGTCCCAGCACAGCCCCAGCACAGCCCCAGCCAAGCCATACACACAGAGCCTGGCTCACTACGAACACCTTGCCCACTACGGAGTGGGGGCTAACCCTAAAACTGGGAAATGGCAGAGAAGTTTAAAGTGTGCATCAGATTTATTTGCTGAAGGGCTAAAAAAAAGTCAAAGGTGAAAAAGCAAAAGAATTACACTGATCATGTCATCAGCGCCAGCAACAATGGAAAAGAGAACCTTGAAACCCCGCAGCTTCTGTTAGAAACGATCGCATAGGACAGTCCAATCTCATTCATTAAGGGAAGGTGCTGGTGACGTGGGAAGATGGGAATCACAGACGTGAGGTGTCTCTGCCGGGGAAGGAGAGACAGGATTTTCCTGCGCGCCTGTGGCGGAGGCATCCCCATGTGCCCCAGTTTTGCCAGCCGCATTCCAGAGCTCATTTCCTCCCATGCCCAGATGGAGCAAGGGCCTCTGTAATGACTTCATGCTCAGCCAAAAGTAAACACTCCCCATGCTTTTTCCATGGACAAATTCTAACCCCAAACCTCCAGCACTGGCCTCTCCACAGTCCAAATGGAAAGCTGCCTTTCCCAAGAAAATAAAACCCTTTTAGCTAAATAATGTATCTTGGCTGCAAAAGCAAACTTCCCTAAAAGCTTCCTAGAAATTATTTATCATGCGATACTACAGACCACCTGACCAAGCCCTACCGATGAACAGAGACACCTAAATACAACAAAAGATCAGAGAACAAAAGTTCACTCCACAAACACCTGCCCTATAACACATGCCGCATGTGGCAGCACACAGAGGACCTGCTGTGCGCAAACCCGCGCGCACACGCGCACTACCACCTAGCTGGAATATTCTTTCTAAACACAGGCTGTGATAAGACAAGTGCTGCTTCCAATCAAGAGCAGAACAGCCCCAAGACCTTAGCACAGCAGTGCTATGTACACATCGCAGGCACGTCTCCAGCAAACCTCCCTGCTCTCCCACATTCCGACCTGAATCGGCGTGATCAAGTCGGTCCTCCACCAAGGAAGAGAAGCGCGGATTTGGGATGGTGGACTTACCAGGTTGGAATTGGTGGCGTTGGAGTCATCTTCTGGAAAGGGAATATAGATCGCTAAGGCCACACAATTGGCAAAAATAGTCAGTAAAATAATGATTTCAAATGGTCTGAGGAAGGGAGTTAAGGAAGTTAATGTTGCAGAAAGCACAAGTGAAACAAACATACATATATATTCTTAAATGAATCAAAGATTCATAAGAATTTTGTTTAAACAATACATTCCAAGCCCCTTGTATTCTGAAAAGAAACATATGCCTTTTTAAGTACTTCCAATGGGTCCCCGCCAAAATTTTTCCTAATATGTCAAAAGCAGTGGAGGCCTGTCGCGTGCCAGAGTAAACACAGATTTCTAAAAACTTTTTCTCCTTCTTTTATTTATTTAGATTGCATTGGACTTCATTTTCCCTCATGTGTGCTCAGGTTGCTTTTCAAGAGCAGGGCCTCTCCAGTCAGGACCTGTGATCCCAGGACCCCTTTCCTTGTGGTTTCATGCTGCCACCCGGGGACTCAAGCTTGGGAGGGGAGAGGCGGACAGAGGGGGATTGAAGGCAGACACTAGACTTTAAGATTTTTCATTTGAAATTTGGAGATTTTATTTTTACTCTTTTAATTTGAAGTTCAGAATGCCTTTTGTTTTCTTCTCTCTTATTCTCTGACAACTTCTAGAGAACCTGAAGATGGCCAGGGCCTCGGGACCCCCAAGAGCACGGTAGCATGTGTACTGTGCTTCTAGGGTGGGAACTGCCTTTTCTTTAAGACACAGCTCCATGTAGGACCCTGCAGGGCCTGGCTTCCAGGGAAAAGGCTTACGTCCCAGGTCCTCTCCCCCTTCCCTTGGTATGTGCCAGGATCCAGCAGGACAAGCCAAGACCCACGCACCAGCAGCAGTGCACTCAGGGATCCTGTGCCTGGATTTATTTATCAACATATCAGGGCAGGACAAAATGAGCTCCAGTGATACTACCCCCAAGCCCTGCACCCACAATTAATGGCCACAAGGGGGAGGCTTCAGAGGAAGCTCCTAGCTTCTGCTCTTCCAGCCCCACCTCCCCCAACCCCTGACACTGTCAAGTTTTCAGCCTAGTCCCGTGGTCGGTAAACTGTGGCTCGCGAGCCACATGCGGCTCTTTGGCTCCTTGAGTGTGGCTCTTCCTAAGCCTTAGGAGTACCCTAATTAAGTTAATAACAATGTACCTACCTATATAGTTTAAGTTTAAAAAATTTGGCTCTCAAAAGAAATTTCAATCGTTGTACTGTTGATATTTGGCTCTGTTGACTAATGAGTTTGCCGACCACTGGCCTAGTCCATGGAGTCTGAGGAAGGAGGAAGGAGAGGATGGGACTTCCCGGGAGAAGGAACCAGCTTCATCTCCCAGCACATGAAACCTGTATTCATCAAGTTAACATATCTTGAAGCAGGAAAAGACTTAAAAATCAGCTAGTCCAAACCTCTGAGGCCCAGAGAGCCTAAGAAACTTTCCCAGACCCCACAGCAGGTCCTGACCAGCCAGGACTAAAACCCAATTCCCTGACCTCTCAGTCCAGCGCTCATTCCCTCGTCATAGATGGCCTCTAACTTCTGTTAACAGGCGACCCCGAGCTGGGAAGACATCTTAGTGATAATCTAGTCCAGGCTTCCCAGCCAGTGTGCTCGTTATTGATCCCCCTTGGCCATATGGGTGCAACTGGGGGAGCATATACCGAGCATACTTCATAAAGTTGCCATTTTCTGTGCCTTGATGTAAAAAATAAAGCATGCACTGGGCCTGTCCAACCTCCCAGCTTGACAGACAGAGAAAATAAAACAACCTCTCCCAGACCCCAAGCTGGGAAATACCAGAGCCAGGATCAGAACCAGACCTACTGACTCATCTTTTCCAACACGCCTGCTGCTCCTTGAGTTGGCCAAGGAACAAGTGATGATGGTGGTGATGTTGATGATGACAATGGTGATGGCAACAGGAAGGACATAGCTAACATTTATTGGGAACTTACTCTGTACCAGGCACTGTTCTAACTGCTCTACATAAATATCCTGAGTGGAATGCACAATTATTATTCTCATTTCTAAGTGAAAGGTTAAAGGTTAACTTGTCCAAAGTCACAGAGGTCATGGAAGGATGGCTTCAAACCCAGGAAGCCTGGCTCCAGGGTCTGGGTTTGTAAGGACAACTCTACACTGATCTATCCTGAAGTTACCCTGAAGCATTTAAGGAAGTTAGTTCTTTTAGCCCTCCTACACATTCCTCTTCCCTCCTAGCCTTTCCCCACCTGCTTAGGAGAGTGACATTCAGCCCAAAGGCTGGTCAGTTTGGTTCCCATCAACTAATCCTCTGTGCTCCTTCACTGTCCCCAGGGCAAGGGCACATTAACTCAACTAGGCCAGACCTCACACATCCAGCCCTCAGAATGTCAGCTTGGTCCCAGAGTGGGGGAGGGCTACACTTGGGGTGTTTCTTGCACTGTAAGTTCCACCTCCTGCCCATCCAGTTATCCATCCATCACCTTATGCTAAAAGTACTGGCTACAGCTGGGGAAGATTATGAGTAAAGAAACTAATCAGGCAGATAAGAAAAGCTATTAGCTGTGGAGGACCAGGTAAGCCCTGGAAGTGTTCAGTGACCCAAGACACCCAGATCATTTTTTAAACTGCCTTCTCTTCTTAATGACAGCATCAAATTCCACTCTTTCAAGAGCACTGACTGGCTAGTACACCAGACCATCTCCTTACTCATCAGCTACCCTTCAAAGGCTATCTGGGAATGCCACCAACCACCTACCAAGACTGGGTCTACTTCCTCTCCTGTGGATGGAGGACACATACCCTTGGAGAGTGGCTGCAGCACCCCTCTGCCCAAGTATGTGGGGAGCAGTGCAATGAGGTGGCTGAGGCCCGCAGTTGGCATACTGGACCTGACCACTCTTCCCCCACCTACCCTGTATATTACTCTGGCCTCTCCTCTCTCCCCTTCTTCCCAGGCTTTGTATGGCACCAGCACCAGGAACCCATGCATCCCAGGAGGTTAACTAGCACTCACTGAAACATCTCCTAAGGTAGATTTTCTGAGCGTGCTTCCACACGCGCAGATTCTGCAGCCCTTGCTAATCTTTGGGAGGCAACTATGGTTATTGCATTAGAGATGATGAAACTGAAGCTCTGGGGATTCAGGTGGCAAGGCCATGATGGGCTGGGTGTTCAGGCCCCAGATCCAGGTCCCACTGTGTCCCGGTGGGGCTGGAAGGCATCCCCTGAACATCCACCCTAGTACCTCTCTTCTGTGCTATCGGGGTGTGGGCTGTAGGAAGTGCATGGATTTGGGAATTGGGGAACCTGGATTTGAAACCCCACTGTCAGTTGCCAGCTGTGTGGTCTGGGAAAGTTCTGTGGCTTCTCCGGGCCCCAGTGCCCCCCATCTCTAGAGAAGCCTGACATTCAGGGCCCCCAGCCCTCCAACTCCACAATTCTGAGAGAGCAGCTTTGACAGTGGCCTGATGGGGCCAACAAAGCCGAGCCTCCTGCCCAGTCATCTGAGAACCAGATCCACACCTGGCCACTCAGGACAGACTGGCCAGCTGTGGAGCAGCCACTCGGCTTGAACTGCATCTCTTAAAGTTACTTTTTAGTTCAGGGGTTCAAACATTTGTAGAACTAACATTTGTAATTGCCTAAATACAAGCTTTCTTCTCTCCCTGAGTCATCTTCTTTGGCCTTTCAACCATACCCAAGACTTTTAAATTTTTCCATAAAATTCATGAATGAAACCTAACACTCCCATCCTGAACCTTCAGAGCCACAGTAGCCCAGCCTGAATGACTTCTTATTATAAAAATGCCCAACAATACCAGGTTCTAGTCCTGTCTGTCACCAACCATATGACCCTGAGAGTCACTTTCGTGGGGCTCAATGTCATCACTAGGGAAAGTCAGGAGTGGACCTACTGATCTTTAAGGTCCTTTCCAGCTCCACCCACAATTCCCACGATGTCAAGGCGCCTGTGACTCTACAGTGAGAGCCCAACCTTTCAAAGAAAGCCGTTTTCTCTCAAAGACCCGGTCACTAGTTTCCATACAGAGTGGTTCTGTGTTTAACACTGCAGGCCAGAATCTCCACTTTGACTGCACATTAGAATCATCTGGAGAATTTTAAAAATATGCTGGGTGAAGCTCAGGCACCTGTATTTTGTTACAGCTTTCCAGGTGATGCTAAGGTGCAGCCAAGGTTGAGAATCACTGTCCGAGGCCTTGAACCAAGAGCTGCAGTCCCTGACCACCACCGTCTTGCATTTCCTAGGCTCCTTCACCCTAGAGCAGTGGTTCTCAACCTGTGGGTCGCGACCCCTTTGGGGGTCGAACGACCCTTTCACAGAGGTCACCTAAGACCATCGGAAAACACATATATAATTACATATTGTTTTTGTGATTAATCACTATGCTTTAATTATGTTCAATTTGTAACAATGAAATTGGGGGTCACCACAACATGAGGAACTGTATTAAAGGGTTGCAGCATTAGGAAGGTTGAGAACCACTGCCCTAGAGAGAGGGAGGTCATGAAACTATGCCAGCGCCATGACATGGTAGGAAAAGAAGGCTTGGAGTAGCAGCATGAAACCACTTAACCCAACACGTGGGTCCCTGGGCAAGCTCAGCTAGGTAAGATGATATGTCGTAACCTCGTAGGCTCATTTTCTCAAATGTTGCTTATTCTATGAAAAAAACATACAAAGAAACAAACACCTGGGGAGCTTGTTATACAAGCAGATTCCAAGTCCTATCCCCAGAGATTCTGATTCATCAAGTCTGGAACTGCACCTGGAACTGCCCCAGTAGATGCAACAGGTTTAGCAGGGACAACACAGCCCACTGGCTGGTAGGTGGGGGGCTGGCCCTACTGGGGCACACACTCTGCCCAGACCAGGGCACAAAGGATATTTCCATTCGACAATGCTGATGCATGCCCTCCGGATGGGGTTCTTCAGAGTCAGGCAGAGCAGGGCACGAGGTGGGCGTGTGGCAGTGGTGCTGCCCTGCTTCTTGGGCTTCCCATACTGCTGCCGCTTCCGCTGTGTGGAGCTGACTGTGGAGATGGTCGCGTTGCCAGCGCTTCCCATCAACTTAGCCTGCCGGGCCGCATCAATGGCTGCCTGCCAGGACAGGGCCGCCCCTGGAGTGGGGATGTGCTCGGGGGCAAGCCCTGCCGCTGCATTGGCATTCATGTTGGCATGAGCTGGGCGTGGGCTCCCATAGTTGGAACCTGCAGGAGAAGAGTACAGAGGACAACAGTCATCAGGGAGAAAACAGTAGAGCTTGTGATATGCTCTGGATCCCAGATTCACAATTACTTAGAGACCTTATTTCAAACTATTTCAGTTTGGAAGGGGAACATGGAAACCCAAGTGTGTGGTGCTGAGAAAAGAGAGTCCGGAAATCTGTTCTAGTCCTGGTTCAGCTGTGTGACCTTGCATTTGTCATTCCCCTTCTCTAGTCTCATTGCCTCATTTTGACAGACATGACATAAAGATGTGTATTATAACATATATGGATCTCAGAAACAGTGCGAGAGAAAGGCAGGATACAGAAAAAGGAAAATACACAATGCAATATATGTAAATTAAAATACATTTATATAAGAATAAAATGATATTCATTAAAGAGAATGGCTGATTGTTTAAGGAAGGTGAGGAGGAAAATGGGATTTGGATATGGAGATAAAAAGAAAAATGAATGAATGAAGTGAATAAGAGAGCTATTGCATGAATCAATGACAAATGCCCAAAGAATTAAAGAGTTTGATTCACTCAAATCTCTGCACCTGAGCTATATATATAAACAAAATGAGGGGGCTGGAAGGTTACATCCAGGTACCTTAAACCCATCAGGACATTGAGAGCTGGTTTAATAGGAGGGGGTAGGAGACTGTGTGATGGTTTTAAATCATGTCAGCCAATCTTTTGACATCTGCCTCCCATTGAGAAACAGGATCTATATATACCCTTCTCCTGAAATGGGGTTGGCTTTTGGTGATTGTTTTGACCAACAATGTACAGCCGAAGTGACGATAACATTGCATCCACCTGACTCTCTCTGGATGCTCACCCTCGGGGAAGCCAAACACTCTGCAAGGTAGCCTGGTTGCTATGAGGAAGCACACCGGCCCTACATAGAGAGACCGCATGCAGAGGGACAGAGTCCCAGCCAGCCTCCAGCTGCTCTGGTCACCATCTGACTGCAACTACACAAGAGGCCCCAAGCCAGAACCACCCAGCCAGCCCTTCCTGTGACAGGTTGGCAGGGTGGGGTAGAAGGGCACTGCAGGAAGGACACCTGAGTAGGAACCAGTGAAGTCCAGAGTAAGGACATCTGCAGTGCTCTGGAGCCTTCAAGACTGTCCCTAAGATACCACACATACTCTGGTCAGCCTGATGCCTCCCCCAGAATCCTCCAAGGTTTGCCAAGTAATCAGCTCAGCCTGGGCCCAAACCTGAATGCCCCAGAACAGAAGCATGACCTTGAGATCTGTCCACTGGCCAGGTGCATCAGGATCAAGAGGGGCTGCAGGGAATGGGGTGCTAGTGTGGGCAGAGAGCTGGGCATCTGGATGCCATGTCAGTTGCCTGGAAGACTGGGGCTGGAGCAGGCAGACCAGTTGCACACACATCACTTCCAGTCCTCCCACCATAATCCTCCTCTCTGCTCAGTGCACATAAGGTCCTTCCAGGGAAGCTGCCGAGTCCAGAAACAGTTACCCAGTGGAGCCCTTACCTCTCCTCACTGCAACCCACCAGGATTCAGATGAAAACTTAGTGCTCTGCCAATCACCTCTCCCCAGCTCTTATCAGGGGCTGATTAATCTACATTTGGCTTTAAGATAACTTTTGCTCCCAGTGTGATCTGCTATCTGGACCCTATCATCCCTACCACCAGCCCTGTCCACAGGGACCAGTTCAGAGATGAGCACATGACCCAGCTCAGCCAGTGAGAACGTATTCACCCAGAGAACATCTATTCTAGAGACAGACTCTAACAACCTCATTGGGCTCCTGCATCCAGCCTGATGCTAGCCTTACCCTGAGCTTTCTGGTTTTAGTACTTAAGTAACTTAGATTAAGCTAATTTGAATTGAGTTTCTGTCCCTGACAACCAAAAAACACCTGGCTAATATGTGTTCTCAGTGCCATAAGCTCAAACATGGCTGGGGTGTCATTTCTGCCAGATTCCAAAGTCTACATCCTTTCCATCATCACCCCAGTGACAGTCGGTTTCCACTCTGATGCCAATCACTGTCCAAAATGCTGTACCTAAAGGATTCTAAGACTTTTCTGAGCACAACAGGAGAGTATATCATGATAGATCAGTGATGTCTACAAGGGCACAAAGGGTAGGGAATGGTATTGCAGATGCCACATATTTACCACCCTGTATGATACAAGATGAGCACGTCAGGTCTTCTTTAGTGCCAACTGGTCGCCTGACTTCTTGTCCTGACAGTCACCTCCTGCACTATTGCCATCTGGTCCCTGTAGCATTAGGGCCTCACTCCCAACCCCTAAGGATAAGAAAATTGTCTCTTTGCTATACTCAATCCATGGCTATATTCTCAACATGACAATGACTCCCTTTGCACAGTATATTCCCTTCACCCTCCGCCTTTCCTCTGCCCCAGCTGCTCCAGGCAGCTGCCATACCCTCAGGGGTAAAGGATGTTAACCAGAATGTCAGAATCACGGAGAACCCAACACTTCCTAGAAGTCTTGTCTCTCGCATACCTCCCTGCACTTACCTCGTGGAGCTTAAGTATAAAGCTAGGAAGACCCCAATAAGGCTGTGCCTTCTCCTTTCTTATAAGATCCCAGAGGAAAAAATTAGAAGAGAGAATTGAAATTAATAAAGGCACCTGGAGCACGAGAACTGCTTTAACAACCAGCAAGTATGAGTATCTCCATTTAAAACATAAGAAAACAAAGGAGCGTATGACTCATTAAAGGTCACAAAGTGAGACAATGGAAGATTTCTGCAGCACACACAGGACTCACAGTTAAATGCTAGACTATCCTCCACCTCCTCAGATCTCATACACACAGTCCACACGCATACCCACGTGCGCGCTCACATATGTGGCCACAAACAAAGCACACACCTCCTACTGGTTTATGGGCCTTGAGGTTGAAGAGATTGAATTTCTGATCCCAAGAACATCCTTTATGTTTATATGATCTTCACAGGACAGCATCCACTACATGAACATCCCATTAGTAACCGTGGGAACTTTGGGATGAATGAAAGTGCAAGGTGTCCCTGTTCCTATTTGCTGCATTGGAGTGACTGAGCCCAACTTCATCTCTTGTCTTACTGGGTTCACCAGACTGGGCTGCAATTCTGTGTCCATTCAATCTGAGATACATCATTTTTCCTTCCTTCTCAGTTTGGCACTGACAATGCTTAACAGACTATTTTATTCCTGGACTGACTTCTCTTCCCTCACCTAAATAAAAGCAGCCATGTCCCAACCATCATTCTTCCCAGTCCTCCATTCTCTCTTCACACAAGCCCTCAACATTTCACACCTTCCTACTGTCTTCACACTCTAATCTTTGTACTCACCCCCAAGCATTGTAAATCACCCTCTCTCACACCACTTGCCAGTCCCGAAAACCAAGGAGTATTTGGACAACGCTTGGAAAGAAGTCAGGAAGCACCAGCACGAGAGCATATCCATGGCCTTGGAAAGGCTGTGTGTGGGGTGTGGAGACCATGGCTAAATGGCCGTAACTCCAGAGAGCCAAGAGGGGTTCTGAAAGCCACGCCTTGGTAGGCTGCCTTGTGAGCCACCCCTCACCATGGGTGACCTCATTCACATTGTGAACCGTTCCCAGAGCACAAGGACCTCTCTGGAGCACACCATCTGGAGAAAGCACATACGAATAAGCCCGTGGGGAAAAATGGAATTTCAACCTCTCCCCAGCTGGAAGACAAGAAAACAGCCTTCAGTATTTTGGTCCTGGCAGCTCTGAGCATTGCTGTAGCCCTGTGACATGACTAAGGACACTGCCACACAAAGCCACACACCAGGTGAGGCAGGCGGGGCCCCTCGAGGCTCCTCCACTAGGGCTATACTCCAAGTTCCAGCTTGGCTTCCTCTTCTCTAAGCAATTTCCCCGCCCCCCAGACTGGAGGCTCTATGAGTACCACCAGGTCCACCACAACAAGGGGCACAGTTCTACAAGAATCCCAGAAATGAAAAATCTCCATCTCAGACTCAACATTTTTTAATCCAGAGCAGTGCCATGGATGAAAGGCAAGCAGTATTGTGTCCTTGATGGCTTTTGTTAGCACAAAATAAATCACCCAATGCAAAGAGATCAATTTTCAAATTATGAAGCTGATTCAAAGCTCTGACTGCTGGTTGCCAGCTGAAAGGATGCCACGATTTAAGTCTGCTCTGGCGCCTGCCTTACCATACTATTTCCACTGATACTCTTGTCCCTGAATGAGCCCCAGGGCGGCAGCTCAACAAATCAGGCCACACACAAACAGGTGGGTGCCCACAGCAGTGATCTCTTTCTCATACATAAGAAAATGACTCTCATTTGTCAAATAGCCAAGCTTGCCTGAAGACAGCAGCAGCTCCTTCCTCCTGCACACAGTAGCTGCTGCTTCTCCAACAGAATGGAGGCCCAGCCTAGAGCCTGTTCTCTCAACCTTTCCAATTACTTTCTAAGACCCCAGAATGAACTGGTCAGCTGCAGGTCATTCTGCTCTGCAAGGTCCACGGAGGAGTCCAAGTCAGGAGGCAGCAGCTCATGCTTCCTTGGTACCCACCCCTCCACCCCTGGGAAAAGGTGTGGTGCTGAGGACTTAGAAGGTGTTCAATGATAAAAAGGTTCATTTTCCCCCCTTTAATCCATCTCTATCCATGAACCTGATCCAGGGCCATATCCCAGAAAATGCTCAATATCTGTTGCTAACAAGTATATTAACAGTGATGACATGATAAAGATGAAGGTGGACAACAGGTAGACTTCAGCAACACTGTTGGAGTCGGCCGGTCTATGCCCTAAGGAATGGGCTTAGTCAGGCCCTTCACTTACTTCCTGGAGGTGATAGTGGGGGAGACTACCTGAGGGAAGAGGCTGTGAGCAGGCCACTACCCATTTTTTTGCCCAGAATGTTGCAGTAGCCCCCTGACATTTCTTTCACTTCTCTTGCCTATCCCCAATCCAATCTCTATGCCAGAGTGACCTTTTAGAAATAGAA